CCCCCCCCACCCCCCCCGCTTCCCGTGTTGCTAATCATGTAATGATTCAAGCTGATTGTTGTGACCAGAGGAGATGCAGCTCGAGGGTCACGTGGACCTGGAGACGCGGCGGTATCGGTGCCAGACCAGCTGACCTTGTGTTCCGTACCAAAGTACTGATAATTACCCCGACGCCCGCCGGCTGCTGCTGCTGCTGCTGCTGCTGCTGCTGCCTCCTCCTGGTTGGATGAAGTTTTCACCTCATTTATCATCTGAGGCTGTTAACAAGATAAGACTCCAGCAGATCTGAACAGGACGGCACTGAGACGCCGCCTCCTTCGTCTGGAGGTGTTTAAAATGTGGGACTGTCCCTGCCGTCGTCGGCCGTCGTCGTCGGCCAATCGTAATTATAGCTGTGAGGGAGCTGGCGAGGGTGACGGCGTTATCTGGTCCACCATTAGTCCCAGTCCTCACGCTCTCTCGTCTGTGAGAGCGCGACAGCAGGCGGCTCATTATCTCCCACACTGAGAAACCCATCGCTTTAAAGTCGCGTTTCCAGAACTGTCGCTTCTGTTCTTTTGGCAGAAGAAAACCAAGAAACAAAAGATCAAGATGTCAGCGTGTACTTACAAAAAAAAAAAAAAAAAAAAAAAAAAAAACTTCTTGAACACCAAATATACCACCATCAACATTCAAATCCGCCACAGAAACTCTGCCACTACAGGCGGGCCACCGCCTGTGTTGGAGCGCGAGCGTCTGTTCTGTCTGTTCTGTCTGTTCTGTACGTCAGTGTTCTACGGTTTGTTTATACAAAAGGAAAAAAATGAGGGACGTCTGTTATTAACTTTTTGCCGATATCGATGTCGCGGGTCAGTGGTGACCTGGTGGTCAAGGTGGTCAAGTACCAGTGTTGATGGGTTAAAGCCATGCTCCCCCTAGAGGGGAGACATGTTTTTTCTGGCAAGTAAAATTAAAACACACATTAGCGCCCCCTGTTGCCAGTCAGTGCATGTACAGTGGAGACATTAAACACAAACAAATGAGTTGATGTTTGTTGGATTATAAAAAATAAAAAATAAAAAAATAAAAATGTGTGTGTGTGTGTGTGTGTGTTGGTCTGTCGGTCACAGACAGGCTCCGCCTCCTGACAGTCACAGTGTGCAGTTGTCCGTTGGCCAAAGTCCTGACTCTGGACCTCACGACCTCTGCTTCTCTGCTGCTGTCCAGCTTGTACCTCACCTCCAGCTTATCTACACACACACACACACACAGGTCTGTCTTTCCTCCTGATCTTCCTCTGCCCCCCCCCCCCCCCCCCCCCCCCCGCTCTAATGAAAGTGTTTCAATTCTACTCTAACGAATTGTAATGAGATTCTGGTCTCACATCAGTGACTTAATAAAGGCTTTTATTTCCAGATGATTAGGATTTAATTTCCAATCAATAACAAAACACCGACTTTATTGTTTTGAATATTAGGAAAATTAATTTCAGGCAGATTTTCCCGACGTTGCTGCAGCTGAAGACTTTAATAAAACGTCCTTCAACACGACTGGAGAGAGCGATGAGAACGACGGCGGTGATATTGACGCTGACTGGACTCTCAGATAAATGTCTGTCTAAGGGTGAAAAACCACCCTCTTTAATGGGCCTCCGTTTAAAGGGACAGTTCAGGATTTTGAAAATGTTCCAGATGTTTTTGTTGCTTACACAAAACCAAGGGCAAAAAAATATCTATAAATAATAATTCTCACCATGTTTGTTGATGAGCAGAGCCAGGTACTCCCTGGAGTAGGAGCTGACGTAGAGCAGCAGAGCTGGACTCTGGTTGGTCCTGAAGCTCAGGGAGATGTTCTCTCCTCTTAGTGTCGCCTCAGAATAGATGGAGGACGGCGGCGAGCTGCTGTTCCTCACCACCTCGTACGGCTCTCTGAAGGTGTAGCTGACAGACGTGGTGGACTTGAAGGTGGCCGACACCTCTGGAGACACACACACACACACAGACGCACACAGGCTGGTCACAGAGCCACACTGGGGTTCTCACACTGACTGCTGGAGTTTCTACATTCCCTGAGATCAATCCACCGTCTGGTTCCACCTGCCTCGCTGATCCCAGGACAAACACACGTCACATGTTGCGTTGGATTCTTGATGCTGCACTTGACATTTTTGTACCTGTTTGACAGAAGACCCCAGTGTGAGCAGACCGTCCACAGTCACAGTAGAAGCCGTTGGCTTTCTCCTCACATCCTCCCCGGTTCTGGCACAGAAAGCCGTAGCTGCTGCAGTGACCCGGACAGCCCGGTCGAACCCCGGGTGTGATGTTCGCCCTCTCCTCCAGGTCCAGGGTGACGCCGTTCAGCTGCAGAGAGCGGATGCAGCCCCTGAAGCCCTTCTGCCTGGACGCAGTGCCCCCTGGTGACATCATGACAAAGGGCAGGTGTTACACCTCCTCCTCCTCCTCCAGCCCTCGTGCATTTATATCTGACGTTTGAGATTCCTGCGTGGAATCGAACGCTTAAAGATTGTTACCAAGAGTGCAGCGATTGTACCCCCCCCTCCCTCCTCCCCCCTCCCTCCTCATCCTCTGAATGTCTGACACAGCTGTGTGATTTGTCTTCTGGCTCTCAGTTCTCTCCTTTCTGTTGTCATGTGAGGAGGATGCACATGTCGCCTCCGCTCCCCTGCAAGTTTCAAACTGTCAACACTTCTCTTCTGGTGGACTGACACAACAATGAAC